GCACCCTCGGTGCGCTCCCTCACAACCTGACTGAAACCCTCCACAAGGAATCATGAGCTGGAACGGCTTCAGGTTAAAATAACTGCAAGGGAGCGGTTGAGCAGATAAGAGGTGACCTTAGGACTGTGGAGGTGTGGCGTCTGCTCACAGCTTTGTTTAGTGGTTAGTGTGAAGAAAATCCCTTTGCTAATCCCCTCTGAAGCCTCAATAGTGAGAAAATGCTATTTTTTTTTTGCTTCTTATAATGTATGTTAATAATCATACGCTGAGGTACATTTACTATGTGTCATTTTCTTAGTTTTGACTGGACTTTTTAGTCCCCATTACTGCATTTGGAAAAGGACAGAAAATGGGGTTTCTGTTGTTTATGCATCATGATCCAAACGGCTAAATGGCTTTAAGAGGACTGTAGTGGCTGACTTGCTATCTAATTTTCAGTGATAAATAAAGCCTGGTTTGCCCAATATTTTCTTGATCTGATGTTTGTTGTAGTCAAAGAGCATTCTGATGTAAGTTTTCTCTTTAGATTTCTCTTAGGAAATTGAAGTCATCCTGTGTTCACACTGACAAGGAGTTCTGCTGCATGAATATCCTCCTAGTATTAGAAGAAAGGTCATACGAGGGGTTTTCTTTTTTGCAAGTATGTAGCTGTTTTGAAGCTTAGGCAAAATCCAGCCAGCCTTTGACACATCCAACAGGAAGTTTGGTATAGGCACTTCCAGGGGAAGAACGTGACTGTGAACAGCAGAGGCAAGCAAAGACATAAATAGTCATCAAAGAGATATAATTAGCCAATGTATATGCAGTGTTTGAAAAATGAAAATAAATAACAATTCAAGTGCAGTTACTGCTAAGAGCAGCATCCCTTTTCCTCAGAGGCCCTGAATGGTAAGTGCTTTTGCAAGTGGGGGTGGTCCCATGGCATGTGAGCACTTGTAGAGAATGGGACAGGAGATAAAAATCCTGCTGGAAACACTGATACAGGATTTTATTAGGTTTATTGCTTCCACAATTTCTTCTTGGGCATGATGTTTACCCAGCTTTTTATGGTGCCAGCCTGACACCTCCACCTTCCTCTCCAGCAGACCCAGTTGAACTCCAGCGTGTCTGTCTCAGCTCACGCCGCAACTCTGGGGATGTGTTTTTCTCTGAGAGGGCTTTGTTCTACTTCAGAATTTCTTTGGTTCATTCCTGCGAAGGGGAAAGGCACACCTGCCATCCAGACAGCAGGGGAGCTGCTCTCATTTTCCCATTCGCGTTCCCAAATGATACATTTCTCCTCTTTCAACCTCCGGGGAGGGAGGGCTGTAATCCAAGCCAAGCTCAGCCTGATGGGTGTTGTAGTCCATCTGGGAGAAAATGGCCAAGACGTGGCCTCCTGATTCGAAACTGCTGGAGAAATGATGTGCCAGGTAGTCACACAGCCCCCATGCAACATCCCTGACTTCCTTCAGGTTCATGGAATGTGGGGCTGGAAACACTGACCCACAGCAGGAGGCCCAGTCCAACCTGCAGAGGGATGTATGCATAAAACTCAGGGTGCATGTGAAGTGTTAAGCTGTACCAAAGTAAAGCTCTTGAAGCCTTCTACCTGCTCAGGCACCAGGCTCTCTTTGTTAGCTTGATTATGTTTCTTTCCTTGGAGAGAAAAGAGTGGAGAGAATCTGCATCTCTGGTTCAAGGGTTCCATAGGCATCCAACCATATGGAGACACTTTGCATGTCTGGGAGTAAAGCAGATGCTCATTTCTGAGTAGGTTTTGGAGACATTATTGCAATGCAAAAATAATTACCAACGTTTCCTTTGTGAGTCAGCATTTGCCATTTCAGGGAGAAGTGAGCAGAGCTTAAAGACCTGCTCTGAAGAGATGACAGAACCCCTTATCCATCATCACTGCATGCACCTTCCCTTTCTTCCATAGCTAATGTTATCCATGTGTTCTGCATCCATCATAAACTTCATTTTTCATGTCTCAGCTACATGTGTTGCATGTGCCTCGTGTTTGCATATAAGCACCTAGAATTCGGGATCTTACAGTTAATCTGCAGACCTGATTAACCCTCAATAAATACTGCTGCAGCTGACTTGCTTTTCATTTGAGATCTGAAAACAGGGAATACACGGAAATCTTATACCAATGCTTTGTGGGTTTCTGTGTGCATGACTTCCAGTCAAAAGCCCTACAATTCAATTATAACCTTTCTGTTATTTCCCATGGTTTTAGAAACAGCCTCTAGCTGTGATGCTGTGACAAATAGAAGCTAAACAATGCTATTAAAAATGCATGATGTGTGTTCTGCCACATTAGATAACATGGCCACGTTTATCACCCGCTAATGCTGCCAGTTCACAGCTTTGCCAGTGCAGCCCCCCTCCCACATTTGCTTTGGACAATTTAAGTGGATTTTTGGCTACACTTCACCTTTCTTTCTTTTCACTTCTTTTTTTTTTTTCTTTTTTTTTTTAACCTTTATTCACTACTCTGAAAATGGTGGTCCCAGCAGGGAGTGGACAGAGCTCTTGTTTCCCAATCTGTAGTTCACTAAGAAGCCCAGCCAGTCTGGAAAACAGTTGGAGAGGCTGATAAACACTGCTTTAGTGAAAAGCAGATAGCCAAGTCCCTAGTTCTCTGTGAGGCCACTGCTGCACTGTTTGAATCCATCACCCTTCCCTTTACATCCACAGCTTGTGCTCACCATCTTTTGCCACTGTAAGAATGGAAGAGTTGCCTCTGTTCTGCTCCCTCGGTGGTCATACCTTCTCGGGGCTGGGTTGGGAGTTCATCAGGCTGGTGCTTTTCTGCTTGTTCCTGTAACTCGGGCCGTCACCGTTTCGGTTCTGCAACACTGTAATTATGGCAGTTGGCAGGACACCTTGGGTTTCTCCCGGTGGGGCTGCCTGGCTGTGAGCGCGGGTGCAGCAGTGCTGCGGTGACTCCTGCAGGTACCGGGGTGTTTTGCCTGCCTGGGCTGTGTGGCCGTGAGTCAGCTCTGGCCCAGGAGCCATCTGGCCGTGCAGCTCCGTGCTGAGCTCATCAGGCTGCTCCCGGGAAAGGTTTCTTCACTCAGGCAGAACATTCACAGCAGTTCAATCCGTGTGCTGCCAGGGGAGTGGTGGGCAAGTGGCCATTTCCATTCCTCCCAACAAGCCTTGCCTGCATTTCCTCACACCCTCCCAGAAGGAGAACGAGCTGCAAAGCTGTAAAAACTTCATATTGGGGTGACTCAGTCCGGTGTTGTGAGAGTGTGCTGTTGGAGCTGTATCGGGGCAGACAACAGTCCGGAGCTCTTGTTATCTTGGCCACCCACATCCATGAAATACAGCCTATTTTAGCCCCTCACCAACTGCAGGCTCAGAAGCACTGACCACAGCAGCTCACTGTTTTATCATCACTGGCATGATGATCCCTGACTTTCCACTCCTTGCAGGCAATGTTGCCTTAGTTAGGGGTCATCCATCTTTCTCTTGTCAAGCAGTGTAATGTCAAAGCAACGTGGCTGATGCACATGCTCAGGCACTGATCTTTTATTCTCTCACTCCACAAGTGCTCTGTGAGTCCTCCTGAGTGCTGCCCTTTTGCTCTCCCTACCTGACTTTTACCTTTAGTCCCTGAACACAGAGTCTGGTACAGCATCGGTGGGGGCTGGAGCTGGGCATGCTCTTCCCTAAGCTACCACAGCAGGAATGTGAGTTTTCCTTTGGAGGGAGGGCATTCTCAAAGGGGCATGTTAAGGCCTGCTCACCTTATATATACTGTGGCTCTGCCCTTACCCCGGGAAAGGTGAATTCTTGGTGCTCTCCTACAAGTGGTAATTGCTGGGAAGTAGAAAACTGATGAGGATGAGGCAAATTGTATCCTCAAGGTGTGGATTTTCCTCCCAGCCTGCTAACGAAGTGGCAGATAGCTTTTGTTTTGGTTAGATTTTACCCCACTATCAAATGCAGGAATGTTTTTCACTGCACAGGGCTGTGGCCTGTGGTTAATGTGAAGGGCAAACTTGCCTGCAGGCAAGGGGCCTGCTCTCACTGGCCTGTCTGAAACACCCTGTGCTCCATCCACTGCTGTGGCTCCTCTGTGATGGTGTTTGAGCCAAACACAGTGCTCTCAAACCGCAGGTATGACAAGGGTCAGCCACAGCCACCCCAGTCCCTCTCAGTCTCTCCAGCGAGGGTTGTGCTCTTGCACTTCCACCCCCCAGTTCCCCCTGAGCAAAGCACTCCTTCCTCTGATCTTGGTCGGCTACATCCCCAGCAGATCTGTGTGTCCGTATGTTTACTTGGATCAACAGGCTTCTGGATCTTACCGCCCATAATGTTCTCCCTAGTTTTGGCATTGATGGATACAGAGCTCGAAACGACTGTACTGTAAACAGGCAACCCCCAAAATGCTGGGACATTGACGGCAAGACCTCTGCAGACTCAGCACATAAAATGGGTCACTACCGAGGGTATTTCACTTGGACAACTCCTCTGTGCCTGCCTTTCTTTTTCCCTTGAAGTCACTTGCATGTGAACAAGTAAAACTAAGACAAGGGGTAACAAAGTGAGGGTGAGGAACGGAGAGGGGAAAGGAAAGTGTCCCACAGTCCCTCTCTGGAGTCTGCATCCTCACAGTTCCAGCCGGCTGCCTCCCCAGAGCTCTGATCCTGGTGCTGCTACAGAAATAAAGGCCCATTGAGAAGCCTGGCTCCAAATTAGCATTTGAATTCCCTTGTAGTCCGTTGTCAGATGGGCAGGAGGTGGGTGCTAGTCTCGGTTGCTCAGCGCTGATACACAAAGGTGGTTTTAAAAGGTCTTTATTTTTCTGAGGAAAAGAAATGCATTGCTCAAACTGCGGATACTTTGTATTTTCTTTTTTTTTCCCCCTCCTCTTTTTCTCTTCCTTTCTCGTCCGTTTCACCCCCTTTCCTGGATCAGGCTGAGCCGCAGATAGACACGTCTGGGTATTGTTAGCCCTGTCTGACCTACTTCTCTCCCTCTCCTTGGCCCCGTGTTATGGATGCTGGTGCTATGGAAACCTGGGTGACATGCCAGTGCCACAAAGCCATGGCCACCAGCTGCACCCTCCATTCCCAGCCTCACGGGAGTTCCCCTCCCAAACACCTCCCTCCCCTAAGAAAGTTAGCAGTGCTGCTTCCCATGGAAATTCCAGGGAAATTCCACCTATCCCACCACGCCGTGCTACGGAGGGACTGGGGAACTCTTCCATGGGCTCTGGTGCTTTTTTCCCCAGTCCCAGGGCACAGTATCTCGGTGCTGGTGGCCACGTGCAAACCCGCTGCTGCTCGCACCAGACCTGTCTGGGCACTTATCCGGCACCGGCCACACGTCACGGGTAGGAAAGTACACGCGGGCGCCCTTGAAGTTTTCAAGATAATAAGCTACAAAGTTCTGCACCAGGATACAAGACTTGCCGGGAGCCCGGATGGAATGCTGTGCCTTCACCGCCCCTCGCGTGGCAAGCAGCCCCACGGGGCCGGAGAGTTGTTTACAAGTTCAGCCTCTGCGCTTCTCGTGATAAAAAAAACAGTTCTCGCTGGTTCTGCGGGTTTCCTTTGTTCTCTACCGGCCTCCCATCCGGCTGGTTGCTTCTCCTGGGAGCCTGTGGCACTATCAGGGTGGATTTGCTTCCAAATACCTCACGCCAAACCTTTTGCTCTCCTCTATTGCTGACAATGAACTGGCAGCTGTAAGGGAAGGAAGCAGGAAGGAGCTCGGGAATCCGCACAGCGCTTGCAGGGGCTCTTTATGCGTGTCGTAAGCGTCTCCAGGAGATTCTTGCAAGGCTCCAGGACTCCCCCAATCCAATAACCTTAATGCCAGAGCCTGGCCCAGCACGGATCAAGCTCGAAGCAGGCGGGTCATGCCTCCTGGGTGCCAGCGGCCGTGCCGGCTGCCCGGGGAGTCGCTGCCCCGGGCTGTCTCGGGTGCGGCCGGAGGTGCCCCGCACTCGGCGGCGGGCCCGGAGCCGGCCGGTGGCCGGTTCTTTGGAGCCCCCGGACTCCGCTACCCCTACCCGCCGCGCAGGCCGCGGGGCACCAGCCGCCCTCTCCCGGCCCCAGGAGGAGCGCGGGGCCGGGGCGGCAGGAGCGGGGACACAAAAATCCCGGAGGAGTGGGGGACACGAACCCAGGGGGAGAGCTGGGACACGAATCCCGGGGGGTTTGGGGACATAAAACTCCACGGTGGGAGCGGGCGACACAAAACGGGGGGGGAAGTGGGACACGAATCCCAGGTGGAGTGGGGACAGGAATCCCGGGGAGAGCGGGGACACAAACACGGGGGGGAGCGGGTCTGGCTGCGCGGGTCTGGCCCCCATCGCGGGGCAGTGGGGGCACCCTCACCCTTGGCGCTGGACATGGGCTGTGCAGCAGTGCTGGTGGCGGTTGGATCACCCTTAAACTGGAGCTCATGGGGTGGCCTTCACACAAGCGGGACGGTGGCCCGGGGTGGCAGGGGCAGCCCCCCAGCACAGCCCCTGCCAGCCCACTGGCCCCTCAGCACCTCTGCAGCAGATGCAGGTGGGCAAACTGGTGCCATAGAGCACCAGCACACCGTGCTGGGCAGCAGACTGTGAACTGGGTAAATGCCAAAACCGTGGCCTGCATGGTTGAACCATGGGCTAGTGCAAAGCCGTTTTCTTTGATGAAGAAGCACAGCAATGACAGCAGCCCTAGTGGAGGGGAGCAGCTTTCCTTCTGCTCAGGGCACCTGAAATGGCCCCTCTGACGCTGGCTTGAAGGGCCAATGATGTGCCTGGCAGGTTTTCTATGGCAGAACTAGCGATGGCAGATACCAAGGCCAGAGCCTGACTGTGACATGACAAGATTTTTAATGGTCTTCTGTGAATCCAAGGGGAGAAGCTGGCTGCAACTCACTGCTGAATCATTAATTTCCCTCCTCTGAGTCATTCTGCAGCCCTGTCACACACAGAGTGGACACAAGTGGGGTTGAGGTGGGTAGTGGCTTCAGGTTGATACAGCAGGCTTAGAAAATTGGTTGTAGGATAAAAGACAGAGGTTGTGTTTGCAGAACCACTGAGCACCCACCTGGACTAACCCCAAACAGCGGGGTTTTGACATGAGTCAGGACCTGCACCAGTAGCTGGGGCTGGTCCTTCTGTATTAACCCTCTGGGAGGTGACTGTACTGGTAAAAAGGCGAAAACTGGGTATCAACTTCAGGAGGTGGACCTGTTAATGTAAAGGCTAAGTGAAATCTCCCTGGGGGCAGGTGGTATGTCTGTCCCTCCCTTGCTAGCCCCAGACTTTGCTAAGGCACAGCCAGGGTTAAACTAAGCTCAACCTTTTTGGAAGTGTGTCACCAAAGATGCCAGGAAAAAAGTTGTTGTTTATCTCACTGTGACACTCAGGGGTTCCTGTGAGGATGGGGCTGTGCTGCACCAAAAACTTTGTAGAGACAAGTGTTGTACAGTTATTTTTGTCTGGCTTTAAGCCTTCCCCTGCAGTGTTTGCCAGCCTCAGTGCAGTGGCAGGACTCCAAGGTGGGAGAGCTCAAAAGCAAAACAGACTGGGGGTTTTGCTGGGTAAGCCAATTTAAAATGCAGGGAAGGAAATGAAACAATGTGAAGAATTAATCACTTCCTCAAAAAAACCCTGCCTTTTGTTCTTACAGTATAGATATGCCTGCTGCTGGTGAAGGGAGGGGTGACCAGTGGGCTTTACAGTGTGGTTAGACTGGCAGCATGCTCATGCAGTTATTTTTACTCTCTGGGTTTGGTGTGAATTCCCCCTGTGACGACACACAGCACTGCTGGTGTTTCCTGAGCTGTATCACTAACAGGAGGGCACCAAATGCACCAATGGCCAAAAGCATCAGAGTTGTGAATGGTGGACTCCTGTGAAAATCCAGCCCTTCCTGATGCAGGTGGGACTTGAGCACTGTGCAAACCACCCAGTGGAAAACATTTCTTGGTGCTGAGCAGCTCAGCATCCAATCGGTGAGCTCAGCATCTCCAAAAATCAGCTTCTCCCTCCTCAGAGCTCTCCTCTTGTGGCACACAAGGTTGCAGGCTGTGTTGGACTGCACATCAGGGAAACCAAGGCAGCCACCTTGCATTCAAACACTCATGTTGCTGTTCCCTGCTAGCTGCAGACTCACAAAGAGACACCTAGAACAGCAACTTCAGTGACTTTTTAATTGTGCACCTTGTTGCCAAGCAGTGTTGGAAGTCACACACGCAGCAGTGATGAGTTTGTGCAGTCTCATAGGCAGTGGCTGATGAGCAGCATGAAGGCACTAACAGACCTTTGCACAACATGTTGGTGGCTGCTCCTGTTTACCCCTCACCTCTTTTGTTATGCCGCAGCCCACACTGAATTCCAAACAAATGCCTTTAATAGGTGTGGGCCTCGGCAAACTGGCATGAATCTGTGTTCAGTGCCCTGGCTGCAGGCAGGGCTGTTGGAGAACAGGGAACACATGGCCATTCCCTGGGGAAGCTCACTGTGAAACTCAGACTGAGAAGAGTTTGCTTTTATGTGTCCAGCTTTCCTAAAACTCTCCTTGTTTTGGATCGTTGGTGTTTCGCATGATGGAGCTGCCAGATATGGAGCACTTGGCACACAGAAGTGCCACGGGGGAAAAATACCTCCTGAAGAGCTCAGCAGTTCGTGCTGGTGCTGGGCAGCGAGAAGGGAGGTGATAAAAGCTCAGATGAGGGTGGATTTGTTGCTGGGGGCTGTGTGAGTTGCAGCCAGTCTGTAACGGAGTGCAGGAGGGAGCAGAACTCCAAGGTGAGGACGCTGATGAGGGACAGAGGACTGGGTCACGCTGTGAGAAGTTGGAGGACGTTCAGCCCCACGTAGTGAGAGAGCAAGGAATGCAGGATACCCAGGGCTGACGCTCCAACGAGAATCCAGAGAACTCCAGTGGAAAAGTATATCGGGGTGAGCCTGGTGGGAGAGAGGCAGCCTGCTGAGACCGAGTATCCTGCCCGGCAATGGTCCCTTCCTCTGCAGAAGTGGGGTGGGAAGGCAGCCCCTGGCTGTCCCCTGTCCCCTCTGTGGGGTGCCATGCACTGTTCCTGCCTCCAGGGAGCACACCCTGAAGGGGCTCGGTGCAGCTCCAGCCTTGCCCCGTATGTGTGTAGCTGCCCCCAGCCCTGCATCCACGCCCTCATTACGCATCATAGACAAGGCTGAGCCACGCAGGAACCCCAAAACGAAGCATCTGGGAGTCCTGAGTTTCCTGAAAGCACATTATGTTCCCAAATACAACTCCCCAGGGGTTACCAGGCACTCCAGGCTCTAGCAGAGGTGTTTACCTTTCTGAAGATGATGCCCTGTATCCTGTAAAGTAGCAGTAGCGGGAGTAGAGATAGAGCAGACCCAAAGCTGCAGCCAGACCTGTGGTTAAGAGAGATCACAGTCACCAGCTCCAAAAGCTTTTTGGAGCCACTTGGATCTACAGAGGTAGCCCAAAGCAAAGGAATAGAGATTCTGTGTCCTCTGGCTTTACCCTCCCTCAGAGACAGAATTACTGCTTAACTTATTGTTCAGAGGGTGAGCGGGACCTGAGGACTGAGCCAGTACTCAGGGGAACAGATCCAGTGACAAACCAGGTAATGGGATATTCTCACCTTGATGGAAGAAGAGTCCAGCCTGCCACAGAAGTGCCAGGAAAATTGGAAAATACTCAGAGGAGTTCACCCTGGCGGGAAAGAGGAAGGTCGTAAACAAGGGAAAGAAGGAAGCTCTTCCTTTTTTGGTTCCTTTAGCAGTTTCCAGATGCTGGAGGCTATTGTTTTTTAGAAGAGATGTTTGCCATAAGAAGCCTCCAGGCTTGCACCTTTCCCCACAGTTCCTGTCCCAGCTTTATTCACAGAAATTAGACAGTGGAAGGAACTGGGTTTCCAGGGCATAAAAAATTAAAGAAAAGGTGCCCAGGTCAGACTGTGCACAGAAAGGCTTTGTGAACCACCCCCACTCCCCCTTCCCAAATGCCACAACCCAAACCCTTCTATCAATGTCCCAAAGCCCCAGGGAAGAGCTGCAGGGAAGGTCTGCCCCTCAAGCAGGTAAGGCCAGAGCAGCTTGGCTTCATGCAGGAGTGAGGGAGCACATGGCTGTTTGGGTTGCTCATACACCATGCCCCATCATCCTGAAGACAAAATAGGGCCAAAAGATGCTGGATGAGGCTGACTTTAGGCTGGTGAAGGAGCAGAGAAAGGAATGGCTGAGGGGATCCTGCTCCTGCTGCCCAGTTGCTTGTTTTCCAGCAAAAGTGGAAGCTCCTCCCTCTCTGCCTCCCTCCCCACTGCAGCCCTAGAACAGAAGTCAGGCAGAGATGATGGATAGTGGCACCACAATCCCCACATCCCCATCCCAGACCCAATGAGATCTTTTTGGGAGCTTGTCCTTCCCAGTGAGCAGGATTCAGAGCAGGGCTGAAGCTGCCTGAGGTTTGAACACTACTTGGCTAAAACCAGCCAAAGTCTCAGGCACCAGGAGCTGACTTTAGCAGTCCTTCACTGTACAGCAGATTCCTACGTGATTTCTATCAGCAATGGCTGGTTCAGGACTCAAGAGCCAGTCCAGTCTTGATGTTGGCTCTTCAACCCACTAATTAACCCTGAGGGAGGTGAGTAACTGCTGAATTATAGTCCCGAGAAAGGAATGGCAAAGCAGGGGAAAGGCAGTGAGATCTGGCAAACATCAGGTAGAAGGAGGTTCTTACTGTGCTCGAAAGACCCTCTCAAATTCAGGTGGGCCTGAGGTCTTTGGAGGTGAAATGCCAAACAACCTCCTAGCATAGATCACCTGGAGGAAGAAGTAGGCTGCAGCAAAAGAGAGAAAAGTAGCCGTGGTCAGTCCTGTGGCTGGGCACAGTGGGGTCAGGAGATGGTCAGACATTGGGGAAAAAGATCTGCATGCTCCTCCTGACCCCACAACCCATCATAGCAGAGAAAGTTAGAGTAAAATCCCAGATGCCTTTTAGGTATGGAAAAGGAATGACCCAGTGCAACAGTGAAGTGAAGAGTATGCAATCATGTATCACCAGTGTTATCTGCTTTCTCTCCTGTGTAATTAAGATATCCTCAGTTCCATAGAAACTATTGCACAATTCTGATGCACTTTGTTACTCACAATTTTCTTTTCAATCTTTTAGCTTTTTCCTCTTTCCAAGTTCTGACTGAGGAGGGACAGGACTGATGCCACAGATAAGTCACCCAGGCACAGAATTAAATTGTCATGCAATGTGGACCCATGGCTGGGTGGTTTCTTGTGGCCCATCACAGCCCCTCCTTCCACATTTCCACGCTGCAGAGCTCTTTGTATGCTCATATCTACACACACTTCGGGAACTGCTGTAAACCCAAGAAAGAAATTCTACGTGTCTGTAGATCAACCAAGAAATTCCCAAATGAAGGAGGCAGGCCATTTCAGAGGAAGGGCTTCCCAGGCACTCATTTGGTTGATTACTTTCCAAAACCCAGACAAGATATCAGTTTACTGTCTGAAAAGCAGCAAAGTGCCAGTGCAATAGCAAACACTAAATACGAAAATGAAAGAAAATCGGTGGAGTTGCAGTAGATTGACCTAGCAAGTATTTGAGCATGTGCATCTGATAGTCCCTACCTTGCTCCAGGACTCCCAGGACTGTCACAGCAGCAAGCAGGTGAATCTGATCCAACATACTGACTCTTCCAAACCCTAGAAAATGTGATTTCTTGCTTAGAAGCTCCTCTGGCCAGGTTTAGTCTTTGCTGATGTGGCAGTTGGCTGTGGTAGCTGGCAGCACAGGTTTGCTCTAATTTAACAAAGGGAAGATTTAGTCTGTGGTACTCACACCCAGGAGGAGTCTGACTTGCCCTGTGGAAATGGAAATCAGTGGAGACAGGTCTAAAGGAGTATTTCCGTTCCTGCCTCCCTTTTCCCAGAATGAGTTATGACGAAGTGGAAAAGCAGAGAGCAGAGATAAGGGAACTGGGAGCTGAATGGATGGACAAATTTCAAAAGGCCAGTGATCTGCTCCCCCAGGGGCATCTGCTTTAAAATGCAGGCCAAGGCACATCCCTCTCTTTGATGTTGCACGAGAAACCAACTGGGCTGTTGTGCCTCACCAGAGCACCAGAACAGGCAGTGTTCCAAGGTACATATCCCTGTGTACATATCCCTGCATAGACTCTGGATAGCATGTGTTGGGCACGGAGAACAACTTATGGCCACAGCGCTGAGACAGCGTTGAATAAAACCCCTGAATGAAACCCTCTGCAGGGGTAAGACAGGACATGATAAAGTATAAAAATCCCTAGATCTGTCCTGCACAGTGACACTTTATTTGGGGATGGGTCCTGCAGAATGACTGTCAGACACCCAGAGGGCTTCAGAGCCGGCCTTGTACTGGAAAGACTGGGAGCTGTGCATTTAAGGCTTCTGATCAATCCTCAGCCCAATGAACTCTCCATGTAAGCACCAGAGAGAGTTCTGCGTGGGGAAAAACCTGCGGAATTCATTAGGATATAGCACAAGGAAAATGATGTTTTCACATGTCAGGAGACGCCTACTTAGATAATTCCCTTCTAACAGCACAAAGCTGGAACGGCCCAGAGCTGCAGGGGTAGCCAGCTTTGTTTGCTTCCCCTCTCTCCCTTCATTCGAAGAATTCTCCCATCAGACCAGGGAAAAAGGAAAGCAGGTTAAGGCAAAGTGATCATTGAACACCACTATTACAGAAAATTAAACATTAAAGCAGGTTACAGGAGTTACATTGTATGCCTGATGTCCTTGATAGACTTTCTAAGAAGCACCACGCTGGTTCTGGTTTTCTGCCCCTCTATGTGTTATAAAGGCACCCGAAATGGCTATAACAATGTCCCAACTTAGTGTTGCTCCAAATATCAAACATGACCCACACTGTTTTTCATGTACCAGCTCTAAGATTAATTCTTTCATCTCAGAATTGAATCTTTTTCATTCCAGTGGCTGTTCAGAAATATGAGGAACATTGTTTTCTTCCATCTAGTTGTCAAAGAAATTAAGAACTCCCGTGTGTTAGCTCAAAAAGGGAAAAAGGTCTCAAAGTGCTTCATAATGTTTGATTTCTCTCTGCTCCTGTCTGACCACAGCCCACTAGCAAAAGAAAATATAAAGCAAAACAACTGAACTAAAAAGATCTGAGCTTACACCTCCATCAGATGACAGTGGAGTGTAAGGGAATTTGAACCAGGAGGAGCTGTACAGGTGACCCAGAACACACCCACCCTCCAGATCATCATTAGACACAAAATACTTCTACTATCATCATCTAGCATAGTCTAAGTATAATGAAGGTCAGCAGAAATATGAATGAATAAACAAGCACAGATGTCTCTCCCCTCCTCCTCCCTCCCTTGTACGCATAATTTTTCAAGCTGGTTTTAATCTCCCGAAGGGCACATTTTTCTTGTCCCTCGTTGTCACCATCAGAACTTGCTTATTTTCCATTCTCACTTGGTGTTTGCAAGAACAGGCAAACCTCCTGCACAGGTACCCTCCTCCCAGGGCCAAATGCCCTTCGAGGGGGGGACTGTCACTGTTGGACAGCCTCAGCACCCTGCAGACAACAGCACATCGCAAAACCTCACCTACCAAGGCTGACCCGGCCAAATTTCCTCCTAAGCAAAGGCAAGTCCTGAAGTCCCAGGGGCACCTTGGGGTGGATTTTCTGAGCAAGAGCTACCGAAACATTGTCTCCCACTTCCCAGCTCTGCACTCTAAGTTACACTGTGTGAATATGGCCCTGCCACAGGGAGGCTGGACTGGCGTGGACCAAAGTCCTCGCACCTCCCACTGAGTTGTCCCTGGAGGCATTTCTCTGTGCCCATGGTTGCTTACGCCACCTCTTCCTGCAGCCAATAATCCTTTCTGCCTCCTCATTAATTACCACGGTAGGGAAACACTGTGAGCTGGACTGCAGCATCAACGGGGATTAGAAAATAACCTTGGGAAGAAAAATGATCAACACAAAAGGCTTAGAGGAGTTTTAAACATCCACAGAGTTTGCAGCACCCCTTACTCTCCAGGAGCAGCAGAGCAAGGAGAAGCCAGCAGTGCTGAGTCCAGCACTGTTACCTGCAGTAACATCCCCTAGAAATGTATTTTAGGAGTGTAAAATGGCCCAAGAGCTTCCTGACAGTGGAAGGGGGAATATTTAGGAGATGGGCAACTTACCCTTCAGCTGCGAAGCATGAAGGCGCCTCGTCCTTCCAGTCGTATTGTACAAATATGGAAGTATTTTCTAATCTGGGTCGTACTTATGCTTCCTTTCCCTTCGAATTCTTTTGCAGCCACTGAGTACATCCAAATCTGTGACTGTGGACTTGCTTGCAAGAATAATTACTGTCCTTCTAACAGCACATAGAAAAAAAGATGGGAGGGTTCATTCAAAAGAATTTCTTCTCACAGGAAGTGTTTTTCCAGTTTGAGAGAGATAAAGAGAGCTCAGCCCCAAGCAACTCAGTCTGTTCAAGTAACAGCTCCTCAGGGTAGAGTGGTGGGGTTGGGGATGTGCTCTCCTGACCTCCCCACACCCAGGAAGGCTTCTGTAAACTCAGACCGACACGTGTTGAGATCTTCCTAGAATTCTTGGCTTTTACAGCCGTAAAAGGAAGGACAGGCTCAAAACATAGCAAGAAAAAGCCAATTCATTACTTCACCCCTTAGGAAGACACAGCTGATTGCATGTTCCCAGGAAGTGGGGACAGTTGCTGCTCTGCAGTTCCTGCCAGGGCTCCCAGCAAGGTGCAAGCTGGCTCAGATCTCCTGAGAGATTTGAGATGTTTCCAATAAAACTTTGGCATGACAAGAATTACCATGCCTCCCTAAGATGTGCATCTATACAGAGGCTCCTCCTTCCACAAAGTAAAAGAGCAGGTGGTTGGTTTTGTCACCAACATCCTGGTTGGCATTATATGCGACTTATCCCATGGAATACAAACTCAGTGTGTATCAGAGATGTGCCTCAGGCTGTTTATCCAGACTGATTTCAGACAGATATTCCTGACATTTATATATCTGTGGCATATCAAAGAGGTCATATAAATGTTCTCAAATATTTAATTATAGCAAAATTTCTGAGGGCTAAACCAATCCCTGGGCAGCTTGAATGTTACTACATGGAGCAGGACCACTGCCAAGCACCTTCTTACAGAGCTTCTCATCCCAGTAAAGGTGAAAAGATTCACTTTAAACAGGAAAAACATTAAAAGTAATTTTCCAAAAAGCAAGATGAAAAGCTGAGTCTTTGGAAAACTACATAAATGAGCATATGTACTCATTAAGTTAGGGATAGTTTGGAGAATTTTTTTTTTTTAAAGCTTTCTTCTAATGGAGTTTGGTGAGCTTTCTCTGTGCTTATTAAATCTGACTGGAGGACACATCAGTACAAAAGCAATGCCAAAATTCTCCACTTAACCTGTCATCAAAAGTACTGATACATGCAAATGAATAATACTCCTTCTCTTATGATCAACATCTGTTAAAAATATTAATTAAATCCCTCTCTTGCCCTGCCTTGTGTTATTGTCACAAAACGAAAGTCTTCTTCATATGTTTTGCCAATTTTCCTACTCCCTGTTCAGCAGAATGTCAGAAATAGCAAATAAACAAAACAGAACAATGCAAGAAAGGCAACTGCACTTCTGAGTAGTTCGAAGAACAATAAATCTCTGGAGCGATAAATGCTTATGGCAGGGAGGGGGAGGATTTCCCTTTGCAGAGGGACAAACAAGCCTTTCAAACATCTTTGGCAGCTCTTATGTTAACACACACTTAGTATTATCTTATAATGATGTGGGGGGAAAATTACAAGGCTACAGAGTACATCAAAATATATCAAAGTCTGAAGAGGGGTCATGGAGCACAGCTTCTCTTTTTCTAAATTATAGAGGTGAAGAAATAGAACAATTTAGCTTTTCTATCTTGTTTGTACAGAAAGCCAAATGCTGGCCAGCCCTACCTGGTTATGAGGGAGCACTGGGCAGGGCATTGGAGAGGAGCAGAGTGCAGGCAGCTCTAAGGAAACATTTTCCAAGGAGGAGACTGGAGTTCCTGGTGGGTCTCCTGTGAAGGAGAGACCCTTGGCTTGCAATACACAGAGAAAGAGTCAGGGGAATTCACCTGAAGTGGGGAGGTATTGCTTTGTAAGGTCATATCTGCAGGGATGGGGCAGTCAGGAGGGCAGTGGTCCCTCTGCCTTATGGTGACTTCTCACCCCAGAGTCCTGCCCCACATGGGGTTAAGGGAAAGGAGGTGATTTGGAGGGAGGTCTGCAGTAGGTCCTCATGGACCTGCTCTTCTCTCCTTGCTTAGTGCTGCAGGACTGCACCCAGTGGAACCTGAGTCCTGCTGAGTGTCCTGCCTTGTGTCACCCTGTTCATAACCCTGGGCCATAGCTCAGCTGGACAACCACAGAGGGTGAGACCACAGAGTGTCCAGCCATCAGCGTGGGACGAGGGATGACACCCACGGAGGAGCTCATGCAAGGGCAGAAGGTGCTGCAGGCAGTGCAGCTGGATGTGTTGGGAAACAGACGGATGTTTCTGTAGAGCTCCTCTGACGTCAGAGGTGTCAAAAAGTTTTGAAATGTATCTTTGTAATGAACCAAAGGCAAATGCTGCAGATGAGAGCAGACCATCGTTTGGACTGTTCTTCTTTTAATTCTTCTGCTGTCATGCCCCCAGAAGGTGCCCTGAGTGACGTGCTGGGCAGGGAGCAGAGCCCCAGTACTGGGGATGGTGCTGGCGAGGGGCACACACACTGTGAGGCTGCAAGTGCAGTGCAAACAGAGTGAAGAGGCTGCCCAGGTCACGTAAATCACTGAGTCCAGAGGAACACAAACAGGCTCTGTTCCTTCTCCCATCTGCAAAGGAGAAATGAAACAGAGCCAGCCCTCACATCTCCTGCTGGCACAGGACCAGGGAGACAGACCAAGGGTCTCAAGGTCAAGATATGGGTGTGGGAGCAGATGGGTTCCTGCTTACCATCATTTGTTGTAGCATTTGCGTGTCAGAGCCTGGCCAAGGTCAAGCTCATCTGTGAGTACTCGACAGTAGTGGCAGCTGCAGGGAGAGCTGGGCTGGGGACAGTCCTTGGGGAGAGGTGCACAGGAGTGTGACTGCTCTGGCCTCACGTGGAGCCCAGACGCTGTGTGAAGCTGCCCCAGCCGTGATGTCCCCCAGCAAGGGTAGATAATTCCTACCCTAACTCAAGTTAAGGGGCACCATTTAAGGTACCAGAAGTGAAGACTCCTCCTGAGCCTTTCCTTTTCTGTCCCAGCTCTTGGGTTGCAAAGCCGGGCTAAGAGCAGTCCCAGAGGTGCCACTGGGACCAAGTACCCATCCTAGCACCAGTCTTCTTCCAGTACCTTCTGAGCGACTTCAGCTTCCCCAGCTATGAGGATGCTGGCCCACAGAGGCAGGCAGTGAGGAGCCTGCCCAGTGTTTCGTGGGAAGCCAGGACAGACAGACAGACAGGCTGTAGGTTAGAAAATCCTTTCTTAATTCCATTAAGAAAATTCTCAATGCCCAAGTCAGTGCTCAATGCCTCCTGTCTACACAGGCTCCAGCCTTCAGGACATCATTCCCTGTCTCCTACCTGTGCAGGATCGGAGCGGGCTTTTATCGGGGGTCTGGTGTGGCAAATAGTTGAGCACAGCACACAGGAGCCTGATCTTTGGTATTTGAAAGCCCTGATACAGTGCTGGTCATCGCCCTTTTACATTGCAATTTAGTGCTTTCACTCAGCACCTGCAGAGATCCAGAATGGATCCAGTCCAGTGCTACAGGACTTATCAGGGACCAGTGTTTGGTTATTAAGCAAGCAGAAAAATCTCCACCAATAATTTTCAGAGGTACAATATTTACAATAGATTAACCTGGTCAGATACTATCTGCAGAACACTTCTTTTTACTCCAGTGAAAATCAGTTCATTTTTTATTATAGAGATACAGACTTTTAATATATACTCACACACACATATATATCTGTGAAGAGCTGTAAAGCAGACCTTGTTCTTTAATCAGCTTAAAAAATTTAGTAAACAATTAGAAACATGTTCCATGTCAAATTTTATCTGGAGATTTTTGAATTTGCCTCAGATTTACATCTCTATATTCATAAAGAGAGGAGGATCTCTGATTCTTTTTGCTACCTTGTAAAAAAGTACCAGGAAACATCCTCTAACAAAAATCTACCTAGAATTGCAGAAAGCTCACAGCTCATCTCACTTTTACCTTGGATGAAGGTTGTCCAGCAGAAACAAAAGGAAAGACTCTCATCACTGAATTGATGGACAGATTAAAAATGTACCTGTTCAAAGGACAAAGTCTTAGATTAAAATAATAAAGGAAGCAAATGTTGAAATTGTGCAAAATAAGTCAGCGACTGATTCCAGTTCCATGTAAATGCACTTGCAAAAAGGAGAGTCTAATGGGGGAAACATTTAGAATCAATGAAAGAAATGAACTGGAAATGTAAAATCAAAATAGTGAACTTGTTTGATACTCACTGGATAGTTTGTTTGACACCAGATAGTTGTAACACACAGTTTCTATATGCAGGCAAGCAAAGGGGCAGCTCAGCCTCTTCATCTTGGACAGTTAGCACACTCTGAAAGAATTCAAGCTCTTGCACAGCCCAGTTTCTTGATGGAAAAAACTAAAGCACAGTATTTTTGACTCTGGAATTTGTGTTTGAGAACGCCAACGTTCCCTAAGGCACAGCTGATGTTTTTATTAATCTTAATCGGATCTATCTCTTCATTCCTCCTCATTCTTTTGAGTTTTCACTGAGCTTGGTAGCAGCTTGCCTCTATAATCTGATTTATTTCTTTCAGTTATGATACTCACCACATGACTAATTCAAGCCTTGAGTGATAAGATCGAACACTGAGCTATTTGACTTGAAAATGAAAGGAAAGGTTGTCACGTTCCACTTGTGTAACCTTAACCATTCCTTTCCCTCTCATGCCAAGCATTTCTATGACTGACTAGATTACCTTCATTTCCCTGTCTGCCCATATATCAAAGGAAGCCTCTCATCCCCCAAATTCTGCTTGCTTTAATAGCCAGAGAGTTCTGAAATAAATCCCCACCTCTGCACTCCCTCGAGTTTCTACATTAGACAGTTTCAGCATCTCCTATCACTACAGAAAATACTACACCATTTACTGCACTTGCACACAGCTACAATGCTGCTCCTCAACCCCTGACTCACCATTTCCCCTGGAAACATTATTAGAATGACCATGTTTAGGGGTTTTTACAATATCCAGCTTTCCAGTCAGCTGAACTGAAAACTGGGGTGAAGCTAAGCTCAGGACAGTAAAGAACAGCAAGAACAC